GCGCTCGCGGGGCAAGGGCTGGGAGGGGTTTTTTTGGGGGGGGGGGGGGATTCATCCATTTTCCAGGGGCGCAGAAGTTGGGAGAGTGTTGCCAGCAGGGCCCCCCTATGAAACTGAGAATGGGAAAGGGTTAGGAGGACGTGCTTAGTGGAAGAGCCTCTGCTTTTGGTGCAAAAGGTCCCAGGTTCAAGTCCTGCCAGATCCAGTTCAAACGAGGGAATCAGGGAGGAGGGGGATGGCAAAGGCCGCGGCCCGAGACCTTGTAGGGGCTTCTGCCTTTCTGAGTAGGCAATCCCGACTGGGGAGCTGATTCCGTGCAAGGCAGCCTCGGGCGTTCACGTGTATAACCGGTGCGAAGTGCTCAGAAAGCGTCTGGAGCCGGCCCGTCCCAAAACCTCAACATTCCAACCGGTGCGATGGTCAAACCGAGTCCACACCTGCTCAATCCACTCCAGCCCCCCCTTTGCAAGTGGATGTTGCCGTTTCACCCAGTGAAACCCAGTTGCAAAGTGCATGGAAAGAGCGCGACTCAGCTTCAGGTGGGGCAGCCCGTGTTGGTCTGAAGCAACGAAGTCGGAGAGTCCAGCCAGGGGCACCACTGAAGCCCAACAGAGGGCGATTCTGCATCTGGCATTCGCTCCACATTTTTTCTCAAGTGGGGCTGATTTTGCATTCCCCAGTTGAGAAAATGTGGAGCGAATGCTAGATGCAGAATCGCCCCGGAGAGAAAAAAGTGCAGCTCAAAAACGCTTCCAAATATCCCGGGCCAACGCCGTCCTGACTGCAACCCCTGAACGGCCATAAAAACGCCACAAATCTATGCAGAAGGTACCATAAAACCCGTCCATCGAAGAACTAATCGAAAGCCGCACGGAGTGTGGAGGCTACCACAAAAACCCGACGGTCAAGGGAAGCGAAAGCCGCACGGAGTGTGGAGCCTACCATAAAACCCGACGGGCAAAGGAAGCGAAAGCGGCACGGAGTGTGGAGGCTACCACAAAAACCCGACGGTCAAGGGAAGCGAAAGCGGCCTGCAACGCAGAGGGGAATTTCTTTTCCAAGGTGGGTTGCGTAAAACAACGGCGGGAAAAGCCAGTGCAGAATCAGCCGGAGTTTCCTTCTGGATCTCCGCCGCTCCTTTTCCTTCCCCGCCTCCAAACTCTACCTCCCGGCTCACGCAGGCGGCAGCGGCGGCCTGCAAGCGACGAAACCTCCGGGTCGCCTTCTGCAGCCTGCGGGCGATCCTAGCCCGGGGCCCCCCTTCCTCCCGCCTGGGGGTAGGGGGGGGGGGGCTCGCTGGAAGGGCGAGGGCGGCGCGGTCCGCTTGGCGCACCGGCGCGGAGGAAGAAATCTGCTGCTGCCGCCGCCGCCGCCGCCGCTCCCTCTGCCGGCCCAAGTGCTGCGCTGCAGCGTCGCCTTCCCTTCCTGCCTCCTGCAGTCGCCGGCGGCCGGGCCACCATGGAGGAGGAGGGAGAGGCGAGCTGGGCGCTGCTGGGGCTGCGGGCGGGGGGCGCCCTGCTCCTCCTGCTCCTCTACCTCCTGGTGGGGCGGAGGGCGACCGGCGCGGCGGGGACCCCCTTCCACCGCCGCCAGCCCGGCAGGGGCCACCGCACCGGCCAGCCCCCTGCGGACGCGGTGAGTCAGGGCGCGCCCGGGCGCGTGTGTGTTGGTTCTCTTCCCCCGACCTGGGAATCCCAGCAGCAGCCCCCCCCGTGCCTCGGAGTTGCCAACCTCCCGGTGGGATAATACAGCAACGCAAGATCCGTGAAATCATAACTATGGAGAGCTCAGTAGCTTCTTATTATGGTGCACGTGTCGCTACAACCGTGCGTGCCTTCACCACAATAAACGATTCGTTGTCACTGTCAACAGTCCATTCTGATTATGACAGATGAAAGCGCCTGAAAGTTAGAACCTCCATAAATCATCCACAAGGACTGCATTTGAAAGAACAAAGGACGGGTTTACTACAGCGCCAAGCCCTTGGATCCAGGGAAGGACACTGACAGGCGCTTTCATGATGGTGATAATGAATTGCTTATTGTGATGAAGACATACACTGTGGTAGAGACATGCAACAATAAGAAAAAGTTGAAGTTTCCATAATTATTATTTCATGGTTCATTTTTTTGTTTTTTTATTATACCTCGTTCCGGTGGATCTCTCTGGATTATATACAGCCTTCAAGTGGTAACTGGAGCTCTCCTGCTGTTACACCTGATCTCCAGATGACAGAGAAAATGGCTGCTTTGGGAGGTGGGCTCTATGGCGTTGTACCTGATCAAAGTCCATCCCTTCTACAAACCTCACCATCTTCAGGCTCCCCCCCCCAAATCTCCAGGTATTTGACAACCCTACCATGCCTCCATTTTCTTACCACAACAACCCTGTGAGGTAGGCTGGGCTGAAAGCATGAAGCCAACTTCCCCTGGTAGACGTGGGCCTTTGAACGCGGGTGTCCCAGAAGGCCCTACTTTGGTCCTCAGTATGCGCTATCCCACCCTGGCCTTCCTTTCCAAAGGGTGTGGGGTCGTGGTCTGGCTTGCACAGCTGTGTGTGCAGCACTGAACATGTGAATTCATATTCAGCGCATTGAGAGTCCGGTGTTTGAGCTGTCAGTGATTTTGTTTTTTGAAGTGCAGTTTTGCTGAGCTAGATTGAAACGGTCCCCATGATGGACCCCTGCTGCTGCTGCCGCTGCTTCTCTGTGAGGCAGGTTTTCCCGCCAAAATGCTGTTCCTCGCTCTGACTGAGCAGCCTCTTAGCAGTGTCTTTGAATTATAGAGTTTTAACTTTCTGCGCGTCCCACCCTGGCCGATTCCGCGTCAATGCTTTGCCCCCCTTTCCCCCCGGGTCTAATTGGTCCGATTCTATGCGCGCGTTTCCGCATTACGGAAATCCGACCCGGGTTTTGCCTGGGTGTTCATTTCCGCATGTCGCCTTGCCCCAAATCTAGAGCCCCCTCCCCTCTCTTCTCCCACTTTTTTTTTGAATGGAGGCAGGTTTGCGTTGTAACGCACCGCCCACTGAAATGCGGATTGGTCCCTTTAATTTTTGACCCTTGATGCCCGCAAAAAGCATCCATTGATGCAGCCGGGTGGTGGTGGGGGGACAGATGGGAAGACAGTATACGAACATGAAAAAGAATGCTTAAACCTTTACACAATTGGCGAATTCCAAAGAGAAATGAGAAAACAGCATACGGACATGTAAAAGGACATTTAAATGCCGGTCGAGGATGGCCCATTGTTGCATTGTAATGCAACACGGGGAGGGAAATTAAAAAAAATCCTGCTTGCACGCTGAAGGGGGGTTTGCAGGCAGGCGGGAAGGAGGAAGAGGAGATTGGATTTATACCCCACCCTTCACTACCGAAGGGAGTCTCAGAGCGGCTTACAAACTCCTTTCCCTTCCCCTCCCCACAACAGACACCCTGGGAGGTGGGTGGGGCTGAGAGAGCTCTGACAAAAACTGCTCTTTTTCAAGGACAGCTCTTACCAGAACCACGGCTTGCCCAAGGTTATCCAGCAGCTGCAAGTGAAGGAGTGGGGAATCAAACCCGGTTCTCCCAGATTAGAGTCCGCACACTTTACCACTAAACCAGACTGAGGGGGGAGAGAAGCAGGAGGGCATTGAAGAGGTGTTGATAGGCGGGAATGGGAGTGAAGGGGAGGGAAAGAAGCAAACGGGCATTAAAGGGGTGGAGAGGGGACAGCTGCGAATTGCAAGTTCCCCACTGGAATGCCCCGACTTCAACACCACAGCAAAAAAAAAAAAGAAGAACCTGAAAATAGCGCAGATGGAAAATCCGGGGGGAAACGCCGTTAGATTCGGGTCAATTGCTGACCTGGACCAACATGTGGGGAACTGATCAATTTCCGCGGATATTATCGGGGGTGTGTGTGTGTGTGACACCGGAGCAAGTGATTATGCGGAATCGGCCCCTGTGATAGAGATTTATTGTAACTCAGCAGGGGCCCTCTTATAAATCCCTTTTCGAAATGGCACTTGACACGACGCCAAGTTCAAACAGGAAGGTTGATTTCATTGAACAGGCCCAATTGGGTTAGGAGGAGCCCTCCTTCCTGAGCTAGGACAAAATTGTGTGAGCCGGAGGCTAAAAAACTGTGAGCTGGCTCACACTAACTCAGCTTAGAGGGAACACTGGTCAGGCTGGTCAGGAATAGGGCAGGGGATGAGAAGCTGAGGTAAATTTGGTGGTTCATACAAATTATAAGATTTTGAAGAGGCAGCAGAGTATGGATGAAGTTTATATTCTTAGAGACTCAGTTTTATCACCCTGCCCAACCCAGCAGGGCGGCATGATGACTTTTGTGGGGCCTTGGCACTTTTTGCCCCTCCCACCATAATAATATCAATATTAAAAATTATTTTTGATATAACTTTAAATTTAACATTTGGGGGGGGGGGTTTGGATTAGGCACTATTTAATAAATATGTGTGAGCCCTAAACATTTCCTTGTTTTCCTGATGTGAGGGGGGGAAAATTAAAACGTTTTCTTGGACCCTAAAAGCTTATTTCTCTTCTGATTTTAAAAGAAATCGAAACATTTTCGTGGGCCCCTAAAAGCATCGAGGGCCCTAGGTGTGGTATCCCTGCTGTGGCCAACAGATAAGTCGGCCCTGCGGCCCAGGAGATCTTCAGGTGCTGCCGCTCATGTTTGCCGTCTCCCTTCGAAGCTGCTTGTGAGGGGCTGGATCCATGCGTGGCGGGGGACTGGGAAGGGAGCCTTCCTTTGTCTGGATCTGGGAGCGGCCCCCCCCCCAAGTGGAGTGACATGCAGATCTTGGGGCGCCCCCCCCCCAAGGGGAGTGACATGGAGGCCTAGGGGCTTGCAAGCCTGTGACTCTCTTTAGGGCCGCCTTCAGTAATGCCGACCCCCTGCTTTGGCAGCATGGAGCAATGCACTGGGAATGGGGGAAGAAAGAGTTCCTTTCACAACTCCTTCCAACATCCTGTTTAGTTTGGCCTGAGAACTGGGCCAGAGTTGAAAAATGCTGGGACTTGGAACACAAAAGCTTATACCCAGAATTAAACCTTGTTGGTCTTAAAGGTGCCCCTGGACGCAGCCTTTGTCCAGGTGTCTGAAGAAACATGCATGCACACGAAAACGTATGCCCGGAATTAAACTTGGTTGGTCTTAAAGGAGTCACTGTGTTCAAATTGTGTTCAGGTATCTGAAAAGTGTGCATGCACACGAAGGCTTATAGCCAGAATTTAAACTTGTTCGTCTTCAAGATGCCACTGGGCTCAAAACGTTAATCAGAGGGAAGGTGGGTTGAAAATGTGACTGGGGAGCTATTCTGACTCAAAATAGAAGGTCCCTCAGGGCA